CACCCGGAATTAATTGACCGTCTTAGTCTATGAGCGGCCTACATGATCCTCACGTATGTTGTTAGTTACTAAATTTCTGTGCTGAATATTCCTTGAAACAACTTGATACTCAACCTACTCGACGTACTATGTCTTTTAGCGACATTCTTGATTTGGTTTTCTGTCGCTGTAGACCCTGGAATCAGCCCAGTGGCCATAATTGTAGACCCCTCTCCTTCTCGCGTTCTCTTTCCGGTCAAACTATTTAATTTGAGGAAGTCATGAGACTTTTATATTTCCGTTTTATATACTCGTTCATGTGTCGAATCGAAACACACGAACTACTACGCCTCATAACTTTTCTCATTTGTCCATCGTCGCGTCATATTTTCATCCAAACACATATACACGTCCGTAACGTTCGATTTTTACCACTCTAAACACTATATCCCACAATTACCTCACACATGATGCCACCTAACCAATATAGCTTCGTTGCCACCGCGTATTAACCTATAGCGCATATGTATACAGAATCAAAGAGGCCCACCGCACGCCTAAGCGTTTGTTTTTAATTTCAGGATAATAATGATAATAATGATAATGATTATGATGATAATAATAATAATCATAATTATAATAGTAGAAGCTACAATGAAGAAATGAAAGACTGAAATGCTCCTCTTCTCTCAAGGAGGCTGCCTCGGGACAGACGATATCTCAATCAAGAGAGGAATCTTCTAGGGCGACTCGCTCTCGCCCCTGCTATTCTGCTTAGCACTAACACCGCTTACCAACATGCTGAATAGACAGGGTCTGGGATTTACAGTCGATAAACACAACACTATCAGCCACAAATATCTTGGTGTAGACGAAAGCAATGGTATTCAGCATGCAAAGATGAAGGAGATACTACATTGCGAAGGAGTACTATCGCCAAGTCCGCCTAGTTTTCAAGTCTGAGCTCTGCTCAAAAAAACAAGATAACAGCGATCAATAGCCTGGCACTCCCGGTTCCCGTGTACAGCTTCGGGGTGATCAACTGGTTGCGATCAGATATCGAAAGGATGGATCGGAAGACAAAAAAGCTACTAACCATGCACGGGCTCCATCACCCAAAAGCAGATGTAGAGCGACTGTACATCAAGAGGCAAAATGGTGGGCGTGGTCTCATTGAACTGATATCTGCGTACAACACTGCCATTGTATGTCTAGGCGACTACATCAAGCTTAAGGAAAACAAATTTACAAAACTTATCAAAATCCATCAGTCTGGAAAATCAAAGCACACTCTCTTATGTGAAGCTAAAGAAATCAAAGCCAAATACTTGTCTCCTCAGCCCACCAGCCAATCCTCAACAAACTAGAGGCTGAAGTCCAATATGGAAGCAGAAAAGATCGAGGTATTAAAGAACAAGCTTTTGCATGGAAGATTTTACAAGAGCCTCGACAGGCCATTTGTCGACAAGATTGCAAGCGTTGCCTGGCTGAGTAGTTCTGGGCTCAAGGGGTAGACAGAAAGCCTGACCATTGCAGACCAAGACCAAGCATTCAACACCAGATACCACAAGTACAAAGATCTGGATATCGAAATTAGGAGGATGTGGAATACTAAGACGAGAATTGTGCCAGTGGTGGTTGGAGCCCTTGGCTCTATAAAAAATGGTTTTTGAGAAAAATCTTAAGGAACTCCCTGGCCACCACACTGCCCAAGAAGTGCAGAAAATCACACTACTGGGAACAACACACATCCTGCAAAAAATTCTGGATTGAATCCCTATGTCCCAGGTTAGAACACGGTCAACCCAGAAGCCACCGGCTAATGCCGTGATACACTTTGAAAATCATAATAATAATAGTAGTAGTATTAATAATACTATATTGGTAAAATGGTCAGTTCAACAAACATAATACGATGATTACCTACGATAAAATATGATTAGACTAGTTACCTACCTTATAGTCCTTCATATAACTTTAAATACACTATTATTTGTCGCACGCGTACCCATTTTTGAAATTGTAGATAACTTTACTAGGAAAATTGTCAGATTTCGTAACCCCGTCATACATGCACGTACTCGAGTACAAAAATACAACAATTTCTACTTGTAACTTTAATTCGTGAACGCGGTTGATAATACGCGTATAAATTACTGCGGTTATTACATGCTTAGATGATTATAGATATTGAAAACATAATTCATGGAATTTGTCCTACATAGAAGGACAAAAAGAAGAAGAAGACAACGGAGAAGAAGAAGAAGAAGAAGAAGAAGAAGAAGAAGAAGATATTATAAATATATATATATATATATATATAGCCGCTAGATAGCGACAGAAATCAATTGGTAGCCCCTCAACTAGACATCAGTCCTACCATACATGTCTTACAATATCATGTATATAATATTTATGGGGTTCTGCAACTACTGATGTACGCATGAGCATGTAATCTTCATTGAACAAGTTGAATTAAAGGAACAGTAGCCTCTAGGATTTTACTGCATACAACTGTACTTACTGTATAACAAATCGTATTTGTTACCAGATACCTATTTAATTGTAATAATTATTTCACACATTCAGACGCCTACAAAATTTGAACGCGCTCATGACCCCGCGACGTGCTGCCACACCCCGAAAAGTTGCGTATTTAAACAATTTAATTTTGCAGGTTACAGACCGAGGGCTAAATCACAAAAAGTGCAATTTATTTATACCTAAATGCTATTTACCGAACGATATTCATTTTATAGGCAAATTCGATATCCATATTATAACTGAAACTATTATTGTCGTTATAAGATATTACAATCTCTTTTGCTTTTAAATGAATAAATAAGAAACACCTCAGTCTGTAGCCCTTGGGGTTGGAAAGTGGTTATTGCGCCACTTATCAGATCGGCGCTTTGAGTGGCCGCCAACCGGTCGTTGTAATCAAACTGTAGTTCGTTAAGTGTTTAAAACATTTTTTAATAATATTTCTAATGGTGATTGAACCATGAAACTTTTTATGTAGCGTAATTATAACCTAGATTAGCTGAAAATACCCCTAGAACCTAGAGTAAACTCTCCCTTTAAATAATCTAAATATGGACCCATAAAACAGGATAAACAATCCTGGCTACCCCAATTGAAAGATGCATTTTCTAACAAAATTTTTATCAAACAAATGTGGATTTCAGAACTGAAAAGGATTGGTGAAGTTGTGTGGGAAATATAAGAAAAATGGGAGCCGATATATATTATATGACCCTGCGAATGTAAATTGTTAGTAATGCGGCCAGTGATGTAATTACTGTTTAAAAAGTTCAGATCCAAGCTAGTATCTTCAAATTGGCCAACGACAAAATAAAGATAACAATAGAAAATTATCTAGAAATACAACGGATATTGTAAACGAAATAATTCTCCATAATTGTAATCAGCAATTGTGTTATATTATACTGTTGGTTAATTACTTAAAAAATTACTACAAACGTAGTCGCTCCAGAATATCTTACGTGAAAGGCAAGTGAGAGCGACTGACAACAACAATTATAATAAGGCCGGTATTTAAAAATTAAAAATTACCTAAAACGCATGCATGGCTACGAAATAAATGGGCAGATGACACTGTGAGTGACTGACTAAACGAATAACTGGAGGGTACCATTATTACATCTAGCTAAGCGTTTAGTGTAATATAATATAGTGTAGTATCGTGTATAATATCTATATTGTACATTCCTGATGATATGTTATTATAATATGCGAGCTGGAAAGACCACAATTGAACTATTAATCAATAATTGCGTACTTCATAACAGATATGTACTGACTAACTAAATGACCGACTGACTGACCGACCGACCGCCCAACCAACTGACCGACCGTCCGATTGAGCGACTCACTAAGCGACAGAGAAACCGACTGACCAACCATCTGACCAACTGACTGGCCAACTAAGTGACCGACAAACTGACCGACCATCTAAGCGACCGGCAAACCGACCGACCGACTAAGCGACCGACAAACCGCTGGCCAACCGATCGACTGACCGACTAAGCCACAAACCGACCGACTGAGCGACTGACCAACCGATCGACTGACTGAGCCACCGACCGAACGAGCCACTGACTGATCGCCAGTCAGAAAAACCGATTTAACGCCAGCACGCTGATCATAATGAAGCTATTATCACACACACACTCGACGTATCTGTTTATCCTAGAATTACATAGAGTACCACTACGCGTAGCCATCGCAGCATACGCTCATGTTTAACAACGCTTACGCACACAATGGAGAAAATGGAAATCGCCGTGCGCTAGGAGTGGGTATTAACCCGAATGTAATTCACGAATCTAACAGCGGATCATCGGATCACACTACGCGCGCGCGTCCGTCCAGATCCCCACCCGTCTGCATGCGCGGGGGAAACTCACACGCCGCCTGCCTGCCGCTCGTATACGCACGCGCGCAATCACCAGCTATTATACCTTATTTGTCAATTATCTACATGTGGCAGCAAAACCGTCAACCGAAGCCACGCTTGTGCCGGCTTTAATGGCGGGTAATGCTGAAGCCTGTCAGGCAGCATGCGCGCTTGCGAGCCATGCAACACCGCAGCCGTAATCCGCAATTAATAGGCGCGCGCGCTCGGCATCGTCACGTGACGACCATGTCGCAGCAATCTGCCATTGGTTATCAACGTATTCACGCCCAGCGCTGTTAATAAAACATACGCTGCCCAACCACGACCGATAGCTATAAGTTAGCGCGCCGACAAAGTGCCACTTGACAGAGCGACACGTTTTCAATAGGTTACGATTATTTACATAGCGGTGTTACGGTGCGAAAGAGAGACCGAGAGAGAGAGAGGGCGAGAGAGAGAGCGAGCGAGCGAGAGAGAGAGAGAGAGAGAGAGAAAGAGAGAGAGAGAGAGAGAGAGAGAGAGAGAGAGAGAGAGCGCGCGAGAGCGCGTCGACACACGGACACGCACACGGGCGCACGCAGGCCCTCAAGTACGTAGTTCCATGGAGAACGCTAGCAGCGGCGTGCGTTGCCAGCGGTACGTGCCCCCGGACAAGTCGCTGCACGGCGTCGCAGAAAAGGAAGGCGCCGGTGAACAATAACAACACCTGCTGGCGAGCCCTCCATACTCCATCGACGCCATCTTAGGTACGCAGGAGAGGCAGAAATCGTTCGACAAGTGGCCGATACAGGAATCGGCGTTCATCGGAAATGGTCCTTCTGCCGAGCACGATCACCACGGGCCGCAGCGAACCGCCGCCGCGCACCAAACAAATGGTCAGCTATTCGCCTAATTATACGCTTTCTTGCGCTGGTCTTCTGACCGGCCGCCAGTTAAGTGCCGCTAATTTGTCGTAATTACGCTAGCCGGTGTGAGCTAACCCGCGCCTCCCCACCGTGTCGAGGTTTGCAGGGTCAAAGGGCACTAGTCTATTAGCGAGCGACTTGAAGGATACAATAGCCAGGCTTATGTAAGGCTGCCCAGTGTAACCTCCGCTTTCTCCGCACGATATGTGTTTTCCTTGTTATTATTGAAACGCGTGCTGTACAGATTAAAAGGCGATGTGCTTAGTATTGTCTATATATATATTATGATATAATATATATATATATATATATACAATTGACTAGCTCAAAAACCTCTCCGTGAAATTTTGTAGACCTACTGGCTACATGTACAACTATTGTGTGTGTACGCTCAATGAAAGATTCTGTCGTTTTCATTTTTTAGTGTTTGTAAGCTTTATCTATATGCTGTCTCTCGTTTAGTTTAACCCTTAACGTTAAACCATATAATTACACTACAGTAAGTAATTTCGTATTTTGAAGCCTGTAATGAAATAATGATTGATTAGTTGACACTGGCCAGCAAACATTTACCTTCTATTATTATAAGTTGTAAAGAATTATTTAATCTCACACGTACTCTATTAAACGTTAGAGCTAGTGGCCATTCACATTTAGTTTCATTCATTCTATTTAAATCCATCCAATTTATATAACTATAGTAATAAGTGTAAATAGTGATATACTTTACATATACATACAAACACGCACGCACGCACACACATGCACCCACGCACGCGCACACACGCAAATACACACGTTCGTGTTTTTTATATTTTACTCACAATTTATACATATTTATTAATAAGCAGTTCTACAGCCAATTTATTAGGGATCCGAGTTTACTTATACATCTACCCACTATACAGAGGACTGAACACTGGGTACCTACATATTACATCAGCTGACATTAATCTCACGAAATTATATAAATATAAATATTACCGTGCGCACACTCGTAAAACGTTTATACATTTACCATGCTAAAGCATTCAACCTAGTCGTTTAACTAATGTTTAGTAATAGAAAGGCGACTGCGGTTAAGCTCAACCATTGACCCGCTCAGTTTCAATGAGAAGTCGACAACCGTATAGACTCATTACACACTTGATATATAAGAGGCAGGTAATTAAGCAATGTCGCACGTTACGCGCGGCTGTAATCACATAGGAAGGCAACGCCGTGCGTAATTCGCAATCTAAATTGCGGCGAGCGTGTGATTTTTTCAATAATTCGAACACGCGCGCGCTTTGTATGTGTGAACGCGTCTCGTTTCCGGCTTGAAATTATACGGATAATTAGAAGTGAGCCGTGCAACGCGGGCCAGCGGTCGAGTTCTTATAACGTTTGGCGAGGGCGTTGATTATCGCTATACCATTATATAATAGTGTAAAGCATTCAAAGGCCTTTTACGCTTGTTTGTGATTGCATACACCTTTTAAACCCAGCTCGTAGTTTAGGTGTTTGGTTACATCCAACGTGCCGGTTCTAAAGAATTTGCCTTTGTGACCCACGCGGACCACCTGCTGCCCGATAGAAGTCAAAGGCAAACCTTCGAAATTCCATCAACGGACTGTAGAACGGTGTGAATGAGATCGCTGCGTTTCGCTGTATATACAACACGATATACTGGTAATGGGGAAAAGCATCGCGTAAGGTGAAATGTGTAAATTTAAGCACGTGTAGAGTCGATTAGAGCGAGCGTGAAATTATGGATTTCCGCATTTTGTGGTATTTCTACATCGAAGACGGGCGAAAAACACATGTAGGTAATACTGTATATAACTTATGAAAGGAGCTTGTGCGCGATCCCTTACTACAGCGCCGCCTAAAATGAATCCGTATTCAATTGTAAATAAATGAAGAGAATGTATAAACTAAGAATGGCAAATATATGGCCTACAATCATCACTCGTTGTAACCCTCCGATAAAAGAATATAGCCAACCTATAAAAGATTCTAAATAAACCGAGAACGGAATCCTAACTAACGCTGTACGCGTTGGAGAGAAAATGGCGGCCTTGCGAATTCGGACGCCTACCCGGTCTTCGCGAAAAACGCGCGCACTGTTTTGTTTTTGCATGCGCTGCAATTTGCACACGCGTTAAACTGCTTTAATCGGTTATAACTGTAAACTGTAATATTAAAACTGTAATATTAAACTGTAATTAAAACTGTAATATTAAAACTGTAATCTTTTGCTATAGCAGACGAGCGCGACGCGCTGGTGGCCGACTGTCACGATCACGTCGCTCTCGGGCACTCGTCGTCCAGCGACAACTGCACCGACCACGACAGCAACGGCACGCCGAAGAAGAAGCACCGACGAAACCGCACGACGTTCACGACGTTCCAGCTGCACGAGCTCGAACGAGCCTTCGAGAAGTCACACTACCCGGACGTGTACAGCCGCGAGGAGCTGGCGATGAAAGTCAACCTACCCGAGGTCAGAGTTCAGGTGAGTCAATGGGGCTATTCGTGCATATAGTGAGGGGAAATTGAATGGCTGGCCGCGCGCGTGCATGGAAACGTTCGAAAAGCCGCGCAGAGTGGAAAATTGCAGCGCGCGGCGTACTTTCACGGGTACGTAGATGCATACATAGACGGTGTACGAGGCGCGAGAAGGTACGAGGAGCATACATCGTAAAGCGGATAATTTTCGCGCTGGATAATGCATTATATTATCCAATAGACGGATGTAAAAATATACTTACATACGTACATACGTACATACGTACATAATATTGCGAAAATGCATGAAAATACAGATTCAATTCTATAAGAGCCAGTATGGATAAGAAGGTGTAGGCGAATGGAAGAAGGTGATTAAGGAGAGGAGGAGAAGAGAAGAGAGGAGAGGAGAAATAGAGATACAGAAAGAACGAGAGACAGGGAGAGAACAAAGTAAACAAAGAGAGTAAGAAAGAGAGCCAGAAGGTATATAAAAGACGGCGATACGCAGAAGACCAGAGTTGAACTGTAAACAATGCTTCATGTTTCATCAATGCATTCGCAGCTGCCAACGAATCCATAACGTGCAAAGAACTTAAATGAATAAAATTGCAATTAGCTCTACTTAGCGACGAACATGAGGGTTACGATAATTAACTGATGGCTAATGAGGACGCATACACGCCTTCAGTCCGCAAATTAGTACATAATATTTATTACTGCTAAACGGTCTATCCTTTCTTCTTACATACTTTTCTCTCCCCTCACACACTCGTACACACACGTACCCACCCACACACAAATACTCACACACACACACACAC